AATTATTAAAAATGAAGTTTGGTGTAATTTTAAACTAACACAAAATTATCATATTATATAATTTATAAGAAAAAAAATAAAATAAATGATTATACACGGATCTTATATATAAATTTTATTTATTTAAATTTATTTTAAATAAAAATTAAGGGAAAAATCCATAGTTTAGTGTCAATTCTATTTTGGACCGTTTTGAAAATATAGTGTGTTGCTATATTCGCTCTTGAATTAAAATAAATTTAATAAATTTCTAATTATTTTAATAAATTCCATAGCTTATCATCATCTTAATATATATCATTATTATTATTATTATTATTATTATTATTATTATTATTATTATTATTATTATTATCACTTAAGTACAAAAATTAATTTTAAATTAATTTAATCAATAAATTACACTTTTAAATACTTATATAAAATTTTCTTAAATAATATCAACTTTTATACTCTTCATCCTATAAAAAATTAAAAATGATGTTTTACACTAGTTTTAATACTCGGTTAAAAATGTCTTTCCAAGTTGAGCACCAACACAAGTCGCTGATAACGATTACCATGTCAGTTTCTGGTCATGATTCAATTCAAATATTGATGTATGCATTGGTCCCCTGCTCGCTGTTTTAATCAACCACTTTTCATACAATGATTGCCTGAAATCGGTACCATTATCAGCTGAATTCAAAAAATAATATATAATAATTTCATTAATTTGATGGTGAGGTTTAAATAAAAAATGGCTGTTATCAGCTAAATGTTTAGCATTTGATCATGCAGCAATCAATTATCTATAACTATAAACAGGGCAGTGTACTCCTCCCTATATATAACAATATTTAGTGCATCGTAAGATGTAATCAAGGTTTGGCAAGCCATCTTATTCAAATTTCTAGTTAATAATAACCGTATGGTCTGTGTTATGCAGGACCCACGCATGAGCATGATCCCCTATAGGCACATCACTTTCTCGCAGTATAAGATGCAATATCTTGCACTATAGTTAGTCCATAAATAACCATTATCATAATCATAAGTCAAGATAGTAAATAAGGATTAATGCGTATGGATACACTTGGTGATCTACAGTAGATTTGTCAGCTTTTAGTGGTTGGACATCATGCTTACTTCATGCATACATATATGTCAAAATTTAACCTGGCAAGTAATTAAATGAACTAGGACATTTATAAACAGAAAATATAACACGTTAGATGTTCTGTACCTATAATTAGGACATGCCAAACTGTTGGCAATTTAAATTTGAAAATTTATTGAAGTGATTTTAGCAGTTGAAATATGCAATTTTTCTAATGATATGTTGGGTGTTATTTAATGGAGGATGTGAAACTGATTAGATTACACAAGTAATTGCCGACCACTGATACTTTGCGGGGTCGGTTTCATATCCACCTTTTTTGGGTCTAAGGTTTCGCCAATTGAATGGGTCCAAAAGACGTATGAATCGATTGCTATTTAATCCCTTTAATACATCACATCGAGGTTGATAACGTGCAGATTCTCAGATCTGAACTCGTGTCTTTTGTTTAGATGAATATAAAATATCACACGCATTAGGAAGGAACATACTAACGACAGGTTTAAGTAGTTTAAAAAAAGTCAAAATTTTATGTGCCATATTGTGTGAATAATTATCAAACAATCATGTTTTAATGCTTGGCGTTTTCTTAATTTAAGTCACATTTGATTTCTTGAACATGAAAACAATTTCATTGCGACAATAATTGACCAATTTCTATATAAACACCTATTATATCAGTGGAATGATTGCTTAACATATTCTTATTTTACGGAATAAACACTAAATCAAACAATCTTCAATAGTATTGTTATTTCCCAAGTTGTTTTATTGGTTAGGAGCATCTTACCCCTCCATTGAGTTGACAAACACAAGATATTGTTTTTTATCTACATTTCTCTTCAAAGCAAAGGTATTTTCAGATTGTTTTTTCTGTCTTGAATTTCACTTCATTCTTACTCAAAGGTAACATTGCATTGCTTTTGCATATACATTAATGACATTCTGCACCTAACATAAGAGGGAATGAAAGAAAACAAAATAGCACACTGTTCTTCTTACTAACATGAACAAGGGCTAGACAGTAATTCTCTTTTGTTTTGGTTCAATAATAATGAGTTCGAAATTCGAATAATGATCGGTGATCATTACAACTAGTTAATCTTACAAAGCACAATCCATTGACATGTGGAAGAAAACCTTTAGCAGATAAAATTGAACTATAAGATAGATTCATTTAGTATGATATAAAGCAACTTAGTGCACAAATGAATGAAAATATGAAATTAGAGCGAAGGACCCCACTTTGCTTCCAAGATACAGAGTGACAAATATGCAAGATTCGGGGTTCCTGGCCCCCGAATTGAGGCATGTGCTGATGTGCAGAACTGAAATTGCAATTATGGTGTATGGGTAGCAAATAGCAATAACATTAAAATGTATTTTCCAATGAGTTGTTTTTCCCCCAATGCACTTAAATTTCTACAATAACCATATTGAATACAATTTTAGTATTTGGAGCCTCTAATCTGAAGTTCTGGTCTAAAGCATACTACATGTAGAATTGTAGTTGCATTCGATCAGATAATAATTGTGTCCTTTAACATTGTTGCAACTTTGACACCAAATCACATCGTGAGTTATTCAATCTTTTATTTTTCTTTTACCTAGTACTAGTATACCATTTTGTCACGTACAAATGTTTGTTTACCTCTCCACTTTCCTAAATTCTGCAAAAGATGATCTTGTTGGTGGGGGATGGTTGGTCAATATCTTGATGCTTTTTTCGGTATTGTCATGACATGGGCAGCTTTACCCTTTTGCTTTGAGCCTGTGGCCTCTGTCCAGTACCATTTGGAGCTTCTTCTCTCGTGAACACCCCCCTTTGTCTCTTGAAAACATGCACACTTTTTAAGATGTAGGCATCATTTGATATGATGTGGCATTTGAGGTGGCATTTGAGGTTAATCAAAGGGTTGAGGTTTCATTGCTTAGTGTGTGTGTGGGGCGGGGGGGGTGCTTGTAGCGTTGTAGGGTAGTGATTTTTTTTTTTAATATGTGGGAATCAAACACCGTACTATAAGATTTACAACATTTATAGTGTGTTTGGAAATACGTTTCCACACATTTAATCACGTCCGTCCAAGATCAAAAACGTGAAAATAAACTTTTTCGTTAACGTGGTTTTCAAAACGTGTATCCAGACACACTCTTACACACCTTATTCAATCAATTGAGTTAAACTCATCCCTTTGGCTTTCATTGGACTCTTCTTTGGTATCCAACGAAAAGGATAGGAAAAGAGAGTTACTTTTTCTTAATTACTAATGAGAAAGGTCAGTGGTGAGTGAAGGATTAATACAAAGGGATTCACATTCACATGGTGGGGGGTGTGCAGTGTGGTCGTGTCATTCCCATTCCAAGGCCATTGAAAGCTGCCTCCTTTGCTTTTGCTTTCCTAATCAAAGCTCTGTCCTTATTACAGTGTGGTCCATCTGCATTGCCATTTCCATCTAATATTAATTCACACTTCACAGCTGTGCCTCTGCTCTTACACTACGTTGCTTTCAACTAAAATTCAAAGGGTGATCTAGTACCACTTCATCCTTCATTCTAGTGTAGTGCCCTCAAATTGATTTGCAGTTGGCCAGCTTTGTCGACAAATTTATGGAAACAATGCCCTAGCAACAATATTTAAGATGTCGCAGAAATAATGCAATGGATATAGTTGGACCATTGGCAAACTAAGTCCATTTTTTCTTTAAATAGTATATCATTTTAGTGATCAGTATCTTAAATTGAATAAATACAACACTTGTTCTAAACATAGATATTTCTGTTTGATTTCCATCATAATCTCCGACATATAAATAAATTCTAAAGTTGATAGAAAGATAGTAAATCCTATTGTTAATAAGTAATAACTTTCATGCTGTAAAAAAAAATAATAATAACTTTCGCACAGCTAAAAGAAGATCCATAAATGATCAAAGTCATAAATTCAAAACAATTAAGCTTCTTAAATAACAAATGCATCCAAGATTTTTCTCTCACCCCCAATATATATTAAAAGATTCAAAATACAACTTTTATTTTATCTAATTTTATAACCTCTTCATCCTTGAGTTCACCTAATAGGAATCATAGGATTACTATTACCATCTTTCTATTCAAAGATTCTAGTTTATTAAATTATATGAAAAGTAAAAGAAAATAAGGGCCTAATTAATTCTCTACCTGCAAACTGACTCTTAACTCCTGCTCTTAACTTAAATAACCGTTAACAAATACCTTACACGAGTGTCCAGAAAAGTAATAGTAGAAAAGTGCACTCTGCAATTCACGCCTTGCTCGCTAGATGCTTATGTATAAACCTCCCTTGTCTGTTTGTTGATTCACAATTTCCCTGCCTTTTATGTCCAATATCTAAAATTTTCATTTCAATTTTCCATTTACCAGAAGCAGTAAGACAAATTCACCTTTGCAGAAGCACCGATAATACGAATGGAAGCATAAAGACATCACCTTGCTCTGAACCCTCTTTTTCTCTCTGGGACCTGCACTGTCCCTCTTCTTTCCAAACAAAAACTCCCAACAGATTGAGTTGCCCTATTCCCATCACAATGACAAAAATACCCATGTCCCATAGATTCTTCCATTTCCATCTCTTTTAACTGACAATATCTTTCAACCACGAGGTAAACACTAATTTTTATAATACTAATTTTTTTTAAAGGATTAACCTTTACCCACAAACTTAGAAATTGATCATATGAACACGTGTTTAATAACCATACCAAATCATGTTATTTTTCAATCCTTCCAACTTAGCACAATGTATTCTACAAAGAAGCCCAAAAGGGTATTCCTGTAAATAAATGAACAAATAGTCCAACTTTCTATCGACTGCAATCCAAGGATAAGTATAGATCTGAAGTCAGAACCAGATTACATTCTCTTTCTCTCTCTCTCTCTCTCTATTCCCACATCGTTATTCCCACATTACATTACTTTAGAAGGAAAAAATGGGTTTGCTCTGAGGCCCAAAATGGATGACGAACAACCATCGACCACCGCCGTCTCCGGTCTCCGGCAAGCCGTGGCGCTCATCTCCTCTTTGATCTCCCTCTCCCTCTCGATCAGGGTCTTCGCCGGAAAATGGCAACTGATTCGGAGCAGGCTGGAGGAGCTCCACTCGGGACTCGTCGCTGGTGATGCCACGTCACTCTCCGGCGAGCTCCCGAAGATAACGGGGACGGCGGAAGAGTGCCGCGAGCTGGCGCGGCGGTGCGTGGATCTGTCCTACAGCGGGAAGCTTCTGATGCAGAGCGACTTGGACGTGACGTTGGGGAAGTTGGAATCGCACGTGAAGAAGCTCTCTGAGATATTCAAGAAGGGCGTGTCCATGCATGGCTACGCTGTGGTGGTTTCAAGGCCTGGTTTTGGAGCTTGCAAAGATGACATGAGGTTCTACCTGAGGGACTTGCTGACTCGGATGAAGGTGGGTGATTCGGGTATGAAGAAGCAAGCGTTGATGAACTTGCATGAGGTGATTGTGGAGGATGAAAAGTACGTGAAGTTGGTTGTTGAGGTTTCTGAGTTTGTCCATGTGTTGGTGGATTTCCTAGGATCTCTCGAGGTTGAGGTTGTTGAAGAGGCTGCCAAGGTTGTTTCTGTTGTTGTGGGGTTTGACTCTCACAAAGGGGTTTTGGTTGGTGCTGGTGTTATTGCCCCTTTGATTAGGGTTTTGGAATGTGGGAGTGAGGTGGGGAAGGTTGGTGCTGCGAGATGTTTGCAAAGGTTGACCGAGAATTCTGATAATGCGTGGTGTGTTTCGGCTCATGGGGGTGTCACTGCCTTGTTGAGGGTTTGTGAAAGTGAGGAGCTTTGTAAAGGGGAATTGGTTGGTCCTTCTTGTGGGGTGTTGAGGAATCTTTGTGGTGTTGAGGAAATCAAGAGGTTTATGGTTGAGGATGGTGTGGTTTCAACTTTTGTGCGGCTTGTGAGGTCAAGGGATGAAGTTGTTCAGGTGAGTTCTATTGAGTTGATTCAAAGCATTGCCTCCGGTGATGAGTTGGTTAGGCAGATGGTGATTAGAGAAGGAGGGGTTCGTGTTCTTTTTCGTGTTTTGGATCCTAAGTTGACTTGTTCGTCTAAAACAAGAGAGGTTGTGATGAGGGCCATTGAGAATTTGTTTTTTTCATCGCCTAGTTGCGTAAGTGTTTTGATGAGTTATGGCTTTGTGGATCAATTGATGTATTATGTTCGAAATGGGGAGGTTTCGATTCAAGAGTTGGCTTTGAAGGTGGCGTTTAGATTGTGTGAGAAATCTGAGGAGGCTAAGAAGGCTTTGGGTGATGCAGGCTTCATGGCTGAGCTTGTCAAGTTTCTAAATGCGAAATCATATGAAGTTCGTGAAATGGCAGCAGAGGCTTTGTCTGGCATGGTTATGGTGGCAAAAAATAGGAAGAGGTTTGTGCAGGATGATCAAAACATTGCTCTTCTTCTGCAGTTGCTGGATCCAGGGGAGAGTAATTCGGGTAATAAGAAGTTGCTGATCTCTATCTTGATGTCACTAACAAGTTGCAACAGTGGGAGGAAAAAAATTGTGAGTTCTGGGTATGCCAAAAACATAGAGAGGTTTGCAGAAGCTGAGGTTTCTTCTGATGCCAAGAGGCTTGTGAGGAAGCTATCCGCAAACCGGTTCCGCAGTATGTTGAGTGGAATTTGGCACTCTTGAATGTAATTCTTTTTTTTATTTTTATTTTTCACCTTTTAACTGTAAATTTTTACATAATTGTCTTCCAAGTTTTGCTAATTTGATTTCCTCATCTCAATTTGTTCTTCTTTTTTTTTTTTTTTTTTTTTTTTTTTTTTTTTTTCATTTGCCTTGTTCATGACAAGAGTAGCTCAGCATTCTTATTGAGATTGTAACAAGAAATAGTGATAACATGAAAGCTTTGTTGTAGATTTTTTTGGGAATATAATATGGCATTGTTTTTAGGCTTTTAGCTTTGGCAGTTAGTTGTGAAGAAAAACAGGATTAACATAAACGAATGTAATTAATTACTAGTGATAGTTATTACACTAGTTTGTGTTCTAAAAATATTATATTGTGTATAAATTCGTGAGTGTGTGTGAGATCACATGGGGAAGACATCAACCCTTGAGGGGCATGTGATTAGTGGCTATCTTACTTTTCTGTATTTAGCATTATATGCAAAAGAGATAGTGATAGATGAATTTTCCCATCTGTATTGTTTTGTCTCTTAGCTAGTTTGTCTTATTTACTAAATTGCAGTTTCCTTATTGTTGATTGAGAAATCACAACACGCCAATTCTTTGCATGCTTGTTGCCTGGGATCTTTCAGATAAGACAACTAAATGAACCTACATCATTCTTTCTGTTTATGTTCCTTTTAACCCCAATTAGATATCAGCTTTTGGAGTTATAAAAATAACATTGTGAAAGTGCAAGTTTCTAAATCTGGGTGAAGATTTAGGCACTTGGATTCTGTGAGGGAGGAAAGTCAACTTCTTTTGTTGGGAGGCATATGCAAGTATGGTGATATTGGGTTGAGGAAGGCACAGGAAACCCATGTTTCTTCCAATTTCCAAGATCTCATCCCAAATGAATGATTTCATTCATTGTGTTTATTGAAGGCCTTAAACATTCTTTTGAACAAAGTTGTGCTATAACATATTTTAGGAAAATGCCGACCAATGCATGAAGAGTTAAGATACTATTAAAGGAATTAAAAGTGATTTTTTTTATTTATTAAAATGTTGGACAGTGCATTCTTCTACTATTTCTATGCAACTCCAACAATTGATGGTAAACACAGCAACTAATGGTTGAAGAACTGTGCATTGTGGTAGGTGTGATCCACTTAATAACATAAAAATTTGCCATAAGTTCGGTGCTCATGTTTAAGTTACATTTTGTGTTTTTATAGTCTTGGCTTGTTCCAAACGTTACACGAAAAAGATCAATTAATGGTTAAAGTCATTTTCAATAAAATGGTTGTCTTTGCATTCACTTTGGGACTCTTGTGAATTGATTAACGCCTTACAATTGTCAAACTCATCATACTTGCATTTTCTTAAGGATTTTTCCTTATAAATTTCCCGTAAGACATCCTTCAAAATTTAGTCCTCCGCCTATCTGTATTCGGATCATTAAAATTGCAATGCTTGACATAAATCATTAATTTTTATAATAAAAAATAAGAAGAAAAAAAAGTATCAAAATAAAAGTAAAAATTATGGAAAGAATGAATAAAGAATTAATAAAAAAACAGTATTTTAACCTGTGCAAACCATGGCTAAGGATTGCAATGTAAGAAATACTCAAGCTAGAGGAAACCAGAAAGTGGATTGGCCTACTGCAGCAGGTCGTGTTTTTGCTTTAACAGGTGTTGAAGCTGAAACGTCATCTGAACTGGTAAAGGGAAAAGGCAAAGTTGATGGTAATGATATTTCTATTCTATTTGATTCTGGTGCTTCACATTCTTTTATTTCTTATGAATGTGTGATAATGTTAAATTTGGTTGTGAGTTCCTTGTGTGTGGATCTAGT